GATTATATCGTGCATCCCTACTTTTTTTATTATTCTAAAGTGCCTAAAGATTATGTTTTATAAAATTGGATTTATATAAAAACAGTGAACTGAATTAAATGTAGCAGTTTGAATGCCTCATTGTCAGAAAGTGGAGATCTCCAGATACCCAAATGCTTGCTGTGTTCAGTCAATAATGGTAATAAATAGTAGTGGGCCAGACTCTTATCAGGCGATTAAAAAAATATCGCCTTTAATCTATTCTCACAGTTGGCTTGGGAGGTGGGTCTATACTAAGTAAGCTTTGATGACTTTCACCTTGATATTTTAGCACGGATGTATATCTGGGGATGTGAAGAAACCAGTTTTCCAACATGTGTAGTTGTACTGTGAAATGACCACATCAAACATGAATGAAGCTATAAAAACACCGGGTTTGCTTCAGAGAAAATTTATTTTGAAGATCCCCAAAGGAAACCTTGACAAGACTAAAGCTGTTTGCACTTTGTGCATTAAAACGCAACCGCCTAAACGGAAAGAAACCCTTAGTCTATGTGGAAGATGCCAGACCAAGTACTGATGTAGTGCAAGCAAAGAGTTATGTTTGTCAAACTACACTGTTTGAATGCAACCCAGACAAGCCCACCAGCACAGCTCGATCAGCCAAGCTAATCAATTTCCTCGCTTAGTGGATTGCCACCAGCTGTCGGTGTTATTATGAGCTCGTTCTCTTGGCGGCCACGGGCGACCCATCTTATAAACTATGAGGCGAACTATCATGAGGAGAATACATGAGCAGCACCCCATGGAAAAAGCTGTAAAACATGAGAAGTTAGTAAGGTGCATCACTGAACATCTATGAATAATGATAACTACCTCGGCATCACTGTACACCTCATTGATGCCAGCTGGGAACTTCAACTTGTGTAAATTTAAATTTCATTTTAGCACGACACCAAGGATGATTACCACAACATTATGCTTGCTTCTGGATGATAGCTTTGGTGAATGTGGGTAAAGTGGGACCCTTTTTGAAAATGTAGCTTCTGTGGTATTTATTTAGCCTATATCATTTCTAGAACCAAAGTTTCATATGATGTTTTTTTTTTTAAACCTCTGGATCTTTACATCACAGTAAACATTCTAAACACAGATTTTAGTCTTATTCTCAATCGCTGTTGCCCCAAAGTTGGTCCACCAAAGTGACTGGTGGAAAAAGGAGAAATAGAGCTTAGACTGACTGACAGAAACCTACTGGCTGTAAACATTTCATTATGACCTATTATGTAGGCCTGCAGTTCAGAATTATTGTTTATCTGAATAAACAGTTATTAAACACAAATACATATTATTGAATACTATTTATTTTCATCACCAGTTATTATAGTAGAAACGCTTTCTCAAGCAGTTTGTGATGTATTTTGATAACAGGGGATGAGCCTCTGGTCTAATGCCCCACCTGGCTTTAGAAACCTGTTCAAAGACTTACTTTTACTTATTATTTACACAGTCACACTTTGTTTTTAATCTACAATAATCTAGATTAATTCCAAGATTACAGTGAAATTACTCTAGATTAATTAATTTATACCCACCACTAGTAATAAAATTAACATCATAAATGGGAGAAGTGTTTGTTAATTCAGATGTTATTGCAATTGATCTCAGTCTTTACTTTGTTGATATTAAGACCTGCTTGGTGGTAAATATCTGTTCAATTTATGTTCTGCTTTCTGCTAGGCGTGGGATAGAAGAGGGCCATCTGCAGAATCTAGTTTGAGGACAAAACATAATTTAGTTTTTCTTTCCAACTGTTAAAATCTTCATGATCCAGTTGATTAGCAATTAAAACTGGAAATGTCCGAGAAATGATCATTCATCCTCATATACATTATATTTTTTACACCTGAAATCCAGTGTAAATTACTGTCATATTTTCATTCATTTTGAATGCAAACTCATGAGTGAAGACATTCCAGTAGATAGCAGGATGTACCTGGAGATTTGATCAATCAAAATATGGAAATTAATATGCAAAGACCCATCCTAATTTAATCCAAAAGGTTTCAAAAGATGGAATTGTACTAGATTACTATAAAGGGAAGTGCGTTAACAAGGCTGGTTGCTGTTAGTTTTTCCAACACATTTAATTCTTTTTAGTCAAATATAGATTACTAGACATTCCTCAATAGTTGGAAAAATTTAAAAATGCAGTTCAAATTAGCTTTATGTGTGTTTTAAAGTGAAATAGAGACTCTTCAGAATATTAAAATTATCAAAATTAAAAGATTTTCAAATGTACCTACGGTGTGTCTAGCCTTTCTTTAACAAAATAAAGATACATTACAAACAAAAAGCGACAAAAAAGTACATATAGAGAAAAAAAGAAGGGGTTTGATTGGGGGAGGGGGGGGTGTATTTTGTTTTACCCCTTTTAAATAGTGTGTTAATCTACCTGTATTAGGGTCATAATGTCCTCCATCATTGACCAGAACCTTGTTGAATCGGATTATTCCAAGTTCTCCTTGGATCGGGGGAGTCAGACCGGCTGAGAAGGAGACCTTCTCACCTGGGGACCAAGACAAGAAACGATGGATATAAGCAAACATGATCCTAACAGATTCAGACTCTAAAATAATGGAGTTAATCTGACCTGTAGCTGTGCTACTTTTCTGTTTTGGAGATCTTTGAGGCTTACTCACATCTGTCGATTAAATAGAAATATTAACAGTCCTATGCTTAGTTCTGGTTGAACATAAACCAGCGATATAAATGTTACCTGTTATTAGAGGCACATTGGTCTTTAAGGACTCAGTGGAGGTAACAGGGGAAGCTTTGGATAAAAACAAAGATTGAAAAATAAATGGTATGCATCCTTGCATGCAGGAAAATGTTACGTAACTGTTTTTACCTGGAGCTCCAGCGTATCCCTGAACAGACATCACGTTGGCGTCCATCCGTTTAGGCAAATCAGACGTCATTTGTCCAGGTGGACCTGCCTCTCCTGTTTCCATCACAGGTAGATGCTTGAGGAAGGGCTCTACAGGGACAGGTAAGACTCTGAGGCGCTCAGCTGAAACTCGTGGAGATCCTTCTATCGGGTCAACATCAGCACCTGAACAGATCAGATATATTCTGAGTTAACAGGGCAGCTGGGTTCAACTGAATAAGGATGTCAAGAAATTCTCTAAACTATAAACTTTCATCATATGACAGATTTAAGTCTAATTCTTCTTAGAGTCTCTTTGAAGTGCTAAAGAGTTTCAAAATAAAAGCAGATGGCTTTAATCATGCTTTTTTGAAAATATTCAACAAATATGACATGTTTCACCAGACCCAGTTATTTCTTCTTTTTTTTTAAAGAAGAAAAACTAACATGTGGGATAAAGCTGTAACTGAAAACATTCATGTTTTGGTAGATTTTGTTTTTTTTTTTTTGCTCATCTCAAAATTATATATTGTAAAACTGTAAATTTAGACAAAATTACTGTTTTTTAAACAAATAGGAGACAAAACTTTTTTTTATCTAAACCTTAAAAAGCCAATTTTAGTAATTTCATGTTAGCTTAAAACTATTTTCTCACATAAAAGGCTCTAAAACTTTATCTCATTTGTTGGAGATCTTTGGAAACACATCAGTTCTCTGGCTGAAGCCAAACTTTTTAAAGATCCTTAGATTTATATTTCATTGTCAGCTTTTATCCACAAGACATAACTGACTTCTTGCAAGAAAAAAATAAGGCTGATGTTTTACTGAAACCTCAGCTCAGTGTATAAATCCATGAATCTTGCAGCAAAGAATAAATACACCAGACTATGCTGCTTCCAGTGTCACTAACCTTTCAAATCCTCATTAAATCAAACTTTAAAGACATTATCTTGTTGCTGGTAGGAAGAAAAATCCCTTTTACTTTAATTTACAATAAATATCTAAAAAGTACACTTTCTCATTCTGACTCTTAAGATCCAAAAGGAAAGTGAAAACAGCTGCTTGGTCAATGGGAAATGTTCACAAGGACGTAAGAAGGGAGAGGCTTTATGCAAGTTATTTGCATGCAGTCATCTTTGAAATTAAGCGCTATTTTCATGTCATAAAAACTATTCAACAGAGCCCTCCTCAGCGGCTCTAATACATGTGGTGCATCTCAGATGAGTCTTTATTTTCTTCTGTTTTTAAATCCCATTTTTTTAGGCAGTTAAATTCAACACTGTTATATGAAACAGAATTTATATATTTATGCCACTCAGCCGCGCATTGTTTCAATAGCAGTTTAAACTTAAATTTATGCTTCATTGTAATCTCTATGTTATATGCCTAATTTACCTGATAAACAGTTGTAGAATGGGATATTTATTATACCGTTTTTCCTAGTATTTTAGAATAACATTGCAATTACTATCAATATATTTGTTTCTATTATTTCTATGAATTGTCTGATTGAAGTTCTGTTTACCATTCGATAGTTTAGCATTTTGGATTGCGATATTTGAAAATGGTGAAATGCTTCACATTTGGGAATCCCACTGTTAAAGTACTCTTTAAATAAAACGGGTTGATTGCATCATTTCAAATATATATTTTTTCTTAACAAATTCCACAAAAAGCAGCTTTATTCAGTCTTTAACTGTCTGATAAAACATTTTAGACCTTTTATTTTTTTGATTCCCAATGTGAAAGAGATTCACTTCAGTAATTTTTTAAAACAACAGTGTCTTCAGTCAGAGGCTTCTCCAGATCCATTGCAAGACAGACCGCTACAGAAGATCCTTCCTGCCTACAGCTATCAACACCTACAACTCATACGCTATTTTAAAAAATAATGTATGAGTTACAGCAACATTTAATTTCCCCTTGGGATAATAAATTAATTTTGAATTTGAATGGACTTACCTAAGAAATTATCAATTTCAATCAAGTTTATTTATATACAAGCCCTTTATAAAATCAGTATTTAAATTAATTAAAGACAGATAGGTTCAAAAATAATCTTTCTGACTTAACAGCAATGCTAAAAAAAATAATACACTGTTCATCCAAAAACATATCAACACCTGTCCAAGATGCTCAAACCCACTTTGGCTCTGATTGCAGCTATTGTTAGTTTTTCTTTCCACAAACACATGCCTTTCTGATGCTATAATGCTGCAAACTCCGAAGCAGAGCTTAGCCAACCTATTTTATCTTTATTGAAAGGCAAGTTAACTGCCAAATAAAATCTACAATAAAGCCTGAGTGCTGAGAAAGAAGGAAGCCAGACGTTTTTGATCCTAGAGAAATTATTCTTCTTATAAGGATAAAAAGAAACATGTTCATCTAATCTTAGCCCTCAACATTAGTGAATGCCAGGATTAACAATGGTAAATCCCTCTGGCCACTACATGAGGTATGATGCTAAATCTAAGGCAGTCACCTCTTTTAGAAGACAGGTTTTACACAGTCAGTTTTCATTCGGGTATATTTTAAAGTTACCTCCAATTTTATAGGAAACGGGTAAGAAATAAATGCTGACTTTACTACCATGCAGGTTGTAAGTGGCATGCAAAGAGAGAGGCTTACTTGATCGATTCAGTCTTAAAGAACAACTTAAAGAAAAGTTAAATTAACAAACAAAAAAAATATATATTTTTTAAACAATCTTGTCTCTTTTGTTTACTTGGAAACTTTGTACATAGCCATCCCCTTTTTTTAAATCATCCCAGCTCAGGATACAAAGGTCACAGGTGAAGAAAGCATCAGGAAAGCTGTTCTTACACCACCATTTAGCTCTGTTTAGCTGTTCTAAAAAGGAGCCGTTCTGAAAGCAGGAAGGTGGCTTTTCCTTTAGTCTCTAACTACATGCCATCACACAACTTCCAATCAAGCTATATAAACTGACACTTTAGGAGGCAGAAATTAACATGACAAAATTAGCTTCATTTATACTGTAGAACGTAAAGTCTTGTGATATCTCGAAAGTATCTGTGTAAGTTTGGGTTTTCTCTTTTGTAAAAACTTTGTATGGGTGAATCCAGGTTCTGCAGCAATAAAACCTGCTGTTACTCTTCTCATGTTTTTGCATTTTCTCATCTCTATCATAATTTTTTTTTACAAGGTGAGTGACCTTCTAACAATGTAAAATCAATGCTCTGAAAGTGCCTCCTAACTAAACTAAACACTCAACTTAAGCAAAGGCTTAATGTTCTCTAGTAGTTTCAACCATCCCATAGCCCCTGATGTGGAAAGTGTCTGGATGTACGTAATTGTGTGAGATGAGGTGATGTTATTGGCTACAAAGTTTCAGTCTCCGTTGTATTTATTATTTTTTACATGGTGTGTGAGAGCTGCAGTGATTGTGTGGTGGAATTTTCCATCACTTTAAAAAAACTCCATAACATCCTGGTTTATCTGATGAACAAACCGAACTCCACTCGCCTCAGTGAAGATCAGGGGTCATGATTCAACAACAGAATCAAAAGAGCTCTCTAAATAAATGTAATAAGTATGGTTATCATGACTGAGACAATAAATACAGTCATAATACACACAGAAAATTTACCTTTTTTCAAATGTAATATGAGTAATTCATATTTCCCTGTGTAAATAAAACACAGCCTTATCATTTTGACCTTTGACATATTTGTGTATATACTGCAAATCAGTTGCATTTTATCCCCCGGCACCAAGCTATACCCCAGTTTACTCCCACATTTGCTTGGAACGTTTTTAGTACGCTGCACATAAACAAAGCTGCTTTGCAGACCAGGTAGTTCCAACAACAGCGCTGGAAGGGATGGTTTGTTGATAAATTCCAGGATTCCTCTTGAATGCAGTCATATTGAGCTGATGGGTTAAACGCTGCAGGTTTGTCATTTTCGCTCCCCAAGTTCATAATTACAGGCCTAGATAATCATTTGATGTCAAGGTGTTAATGAGAACAGTTACTAGTCTTGACATAAAGATAATGACAGCTTTGTGTGACAGATCTGTAACAGTGGAGCTATTGTAGTTAAAAAAAGACATATATCTTTGCTAATGGAAGTTATTTAAGGAAGCAAACTAAAGACAAAAAAGCCCACATATGGTCCCCTGACTCTTAATAAATCTTTCAATGTGATCTTTAAAATGTCATTTACATGCCAGTTCAACTTAACCATCCAAAATGTCCCAAATAGCTGTGGTGGATGAGACCTCAGGTTAGGACATTTAGTTCCTGTTTATTTTATACTTAAAAGCTTGCCTTAGTAAAAGAAAATTTATAGTAAGAAGTCTATAAATATAATTTAACCAAAATGTTGCTGCTCCAGATGGAAAGCCAGCACTTAAATACCATATAGACAAATTTTTTTGTCATTTTGTATACACAGAGTGTATACAAGACTAAATTTAGTTGCAAACAGCTTACAACAGTGAAATGAGCATTTCCATTTATAAAGAGCAGCAGTGATCATCATGTAAACAGTATAGGAGAAAAGGAAACCAGGCATTATTAAAACATCAGCCACGTTGGTAGAGAGAAAAAAAGTCTCCCTGCTTAATGGTAATACATGCTGGCAGACCCGCTCGGTGCTGTAAAACGGCCCAGGAGGTGAGCCTGGGAGCATGCACACCGGTCGTGTTGCTCCTCATATAAAGCGAGGTATGTCCTTCTCTTTGATCTGAGCAATTCAAAAGTAATTTCCGAGCTGCTGCCACTGAGATAAAAGAACCAACGACCAGGATGTGTATCGGCTTTGCACAGGAGAGTGTACTGTGTATTAAAGAGGTAAGCAGTAAACAAATACAGCTGGATCTAAATGTGTGTTTCTCCAAGTAACTTGGGGAAAGGAAATCCTCTCTCTGTTGTTAGTCATTTACCCACCAGCAGATTCTAATTACAGCAGTCTCCTGTTTCGCAAAAAAACAGACACTTTCTACTTTATAAATCACTTTTTAATAATGACTGCAAGGCAGAATCTTGACTTTATGAGTCACCAAAAGACACTGAGGTCTTTAAAGCTTTGATTTAGGAATCCATAAATACAATTTCTGTGATTAGTGGCCAAAACAAATCTTGAGAGAAAAGAGGAATGGAAATACATTTCTAAGCCCTGTCACAGTCTGAAAACCCAATCGAAGGAGGAGCCACCAAAAACAAG